GAACACCACATGCCCCAAAAAGGTGACTTTCGACTTCCAAAGTTCACATTTTGATTGCTTCCAATAGAAGCAATTAGCTTATAACTAGCACAGTACTTCTTATAGGTATTGTTCATGCTCTTCATGGATTTTACTATATATGAGGATATCATCAATGAAGACAAATACATACTTATCTAAAAGGTCTCTAAATAATTTGTTTATATAATCCATAAAAGAGGCTAAAGCATTCGTGAGGCCAAAAGGTAAAATCAACCATTCAAAATATCCATAGCGCATACAAAATACCATCTTTTCTACATCTTCTTTTGCAATAGGTCTTTGTCTATAGCTACTCCAAAGATCTAATTTATTAAAGATGATTGCACTTCAAAGTTAGTCAAGAAGACCATCCACGTATAGAAATAGATATGCATTCTTAACAATCTGCTTATTAAGGCTTCGATAGTCAATGCAAAAGCAAAGTCTACCATCCTTCTTGAGTGCAAAGAATACAGGTGCTTTCCATGGTAATGACCTTTTTCAAATGAGGCCTTTCTCCAAGAATTTGTCTAATGCCTTTTCTAGCTCTTCAAGTTCTTTCAATGTTAGGTGATAAATTGATCAACTTACTAATATGGCTCCAAGCAATAGTTCTATTTGAAAAGAGGCATTCCATTACGTAAATTAGTTAGGAAGATATTTTAATATTTTTGTATGAGTTGTTCTATCTATTATAATCCTTCAACTATCTTACCCACCACTAATGCAAGATTTGAAACCACCTTATATATTAATTGTTTATACTATATTTTCTTTTTTTTATAAAGATCATGTCTATAAGTAAGTCTTTGCTTGCAGATTATCTTTCTTCTTCACTTGATATGGAGGTGCAAAGAGTCACTTTGTATCCACCATCTATAAAAGAAATTATCCTTGCTATCTAATGAACTTGTTTATTTCCCATCTCTAGCCATGGTTTCACAGACATATATATTTACCTCAATAGTTACTTATATGATTAAGTAGAAGTAGATAAAATAGAATAATTTCATAAAATCTTCTAGAGAAGCTTCTTAGAAGCTTAATAGATGTGGTTTTGACTTTAGATGTGTTCATAGGTTAGAAACTTGGCCAAAAAGCTAACCATGTATCGGTAGCTTATGGAATAAGTTACCTCTATGTAATAACTTGTAGAACAAGCCAACTACGTGGCACATATATAGATAACTTGCCTTGTAAGATAAGACATGTGGCTAACAAAGTCAACACATGTTAGAGGTCCTATAGGACATTGCCACGTGGCTCTTAGTTAGATAGGATATATGGAGGCAAGAGTGAAGCCTTCTTCACTCTTGTCAACGCCTTTCTAGTCTTAGTCTTGTTTCAAGACTTTCAAGTCTTCTTGTTTTTTGATAATAGTCACTCTAGTTAATATTACATCACCTTTTGAATGACTTTCTAGTTCTCTTTAGTGATAGAAGAGTATATTGAGGATTCTCTTTCTTTGAGATTCATGTCCTTGATACATCGTATACCAACGATAACATCATTTCTTAGCTTTGTCACCTTGAATCTCTCTTAAAGCGTAGATATCAGTCAACTTCAAGGTTTTTTCTTTATGTGTCTTACTTAATATGTTCTTTCAATCATTTGCAAGATATATACTTCCTTCCTTGATTGCCTTAATTTTAATTCTAAGCCAATTGGTAATTTCAATTGATATGTAATTTTCTATAGAGCCACAATCTACAAGCACTCAATATGGTTGTTCTCTAAGTAGTCTCGTTAGATGCACCAGTCAACTCTTTATATACTTGTTCAAGGCCATGTCATTTATCTCTAAGAGACAGTAGCTATTCCTAGTACTGGCCTTCAACGCCTTTATTAGGGAGTTTTATTTTTTTGTTTTACCTCATTATCAATTTAGTGAGTTTTGAGATCGTAAATCTACCTTATCTTGTTGGTCCTTAAATTTTGACGTTTTGAATAACCTCCAATTTGATGGCTTGGGTCTCATCAATAGAAACACAATTTATTTTGTACCAATATTTGTCATCTTTGTGGTATCAATAATCTTTGTAAAGCATCAATCTCCGTTAGTGTTGGTTATTGTGCCATAGTATTAGATAGCGGCATATGACTTTGTGTTATAGGTCTTGCTCTACAATTTCTGAAATCTATAGCATTGATCTTCTTTGCAATCCGAATTACCTCTTTGAATGTTTGTAGATCCCTTAGCTCTACCTCTCGTTAGATCTTAAGTTTCAAACCTTGTAGGAATCAATCCATCAACTTTGCCTTCAAAATATTGCCAATTTTGAAACATAGGGACTTGAATAAGGAGACATAATCTTATACCAATCTAGATTATATAAGACTTACCAACTCATCACATATTATCTTCTTTGAATTGATGGGCCAAAATTGATTCCTAAACTTAGTCTCAAACTCCTTCCAATCTCAAAATCTACCTTGAGCTCTACAGCTTTGAACTTGATGTCGCCACCAAATGGCTGCCACATCTTTCAAATAGTTGGTTGCATATATAATTCTTTTAGTGGTATTTGTTCTAGATAGATAGAGGTATCCTCACATATTAAAGAGCCATTGACATACATCTTCTTGTCTTCAAGTGCAAGAGTATGTACTATATTTACTCAATTTTAGCCTAGTAGATGTTGACTCTTTTATCCTTGAGGCTTCTATTAGTCCTTGCAAAGTAACTATCTCACCTAAGAGGTATTGTATTTGAACCACCTTCTAATTCATTTTTTAAAAATAGCTCATGGTAGCCTCAATACAATATATAATATGACTACAATAATTAATCTTGGATTAGATGATGACTATTGAGACTTCACCAAAAGTAAACTGTCTAACTCTTGCTGTGATACTAATGAAACAAGATTGGTTTATCTCAAGTATCCAAGATCCTTCTAATTCACAGCAACATAAAACCTCATCATAAGATAGGGCAAACTAGATAAAAATAAAACTAAACAGAACTAAACAAAATGAGACACAAAAGATAAAATTGAGCAATCGAAATTAAGATAAAAATAAAATAAAATATGAAGTTACAAAATTCAATTGTATTAAGAAAAAAGATTCCAATCCATACCTAATCATATGTCTCTAAAGGCCTTGGTCAGTCCTATTTATATTTTGTTCTACCACCTTGAACTTTCTAAAATGTTCCTAGGTAGTGAATGTCAAGTAGATAAGTGCCTAAAGTTTTTTCTAGAAGATTCTATAGTATGTGCGACCTAGATAACTACCTTAAGCTTTTTCTAGAAGGTTCTATAGTAGGTCCTACCTAAGTAACCACCGTAAATTCTTTCTAAAATGTTTCACAATGGATCCTATCTAGTCCACTAACTTAACTTCAATTCTAAAAACTTCCATAGTTTTAATTATCTATCCCTATGTATCAATAATACAAATATCTTACCTATACTCTATTACATTGGTAGTGTTGTAGCATTATTGTGTAGTAATATACTTACAAATAAAAATAAAAAGTATGGATTTTATTATAGAAGAATATAATAGACAGATATAGTAGCAAAACATGGATAAATGATAAGAAGGTAGTAAAATTTTTAGTATTAATATTTCTTTTATATAAATAGAAAAGCTTCTATTTATTTTATAAGGCCATAAATAAATAAATAAAAATATATTTGGAAATTAAATCATATAAATATCTTTAAAAAAATTAAAATAAATTTTAGCTAAACTTACCTTAAAATACGAAGAATTGATACCTAAAGAAGATTAATTATAAACCAATGTCAAAATCAAATCCTAAGGCATAGAAGTACATACCTATGGTAATTCCAAGATTATTTGGTTGATCAAAGAATAGATTTTGAGAAAAAAACTAATAAGAGGTTTTTTAGAAGTTGGTTTTATGTGATTTAGAGGCATATTGAGTTTTTGAGGGCTTTTCAAAGAGAAAGATATATTCAATGATTTTGGATTTTGAAAAATAAAAAATATGTTTATAATTTTAAAAATTATGAAAATATTATAGCACATTTAAGGGTGTAATTTTGTGAGTTTATTATCATACTTATTTTAAATATATTTGAAAATTCTGATGTTAATTGAATGATTAAATTAAAGGATATGAGAGTTTTAGTGGATTAGAATTTCAAATATTTGAAAATTTGGATCAATGAGGGTTTTTGCAATTTTGCAAAATCTGCCAATTAGATTGAAGCAAAAATTAGTAAAAGAAATTTGAACTTACAAATCTACACATTAGTCAATTTTTAAAGCCATTGAATGGTTTAGCAAGGAGAAATCATTGCTAAAAGAACAACATCTAGATTGAAAAAGGAGTGCAATAGACATCCAAGAGGTTTAAGAGCTTTTTCTTTCAATTGGTGAGTTTGATTTTTGTCAAATTTTATGTGCTTGTTAATTGCTTGTGAATTAGAATGTGGATTAAATTTTAATTGAGATCAATTATTTGATTAATATTTATTAAGATTTTAAAACAACTATAAGAATTGATTAGGATTTATTTAGGATTTTCTTGAGTTTATATAGGATTTGTTCAAGAATTGGTTTGGATTTAGGATTTGATTAGGGTTTCATTAGGAACTCATTAGGATTTGGTTTAGGATTTGGTTAAAATTATATTAGAATATGGTTAGGATTTCATTAGAATTTAGTTTAGGATTTAGAATTTAATTAAGATTTAATTAAGATTTTAATTAGGATTTTGGTTAGGATTTAATTAGAATTTGGTTAGGATTTCATTGGGGTATATTTAGGGCTACATTAAGGTTTGGTTAAGGTCTATCTAGGATTTACTTAGGATCTATTTAAGATTTCTATTTTCAATATTTCTTCAAAATTCTTTATCATTTCATTGAGGTTTTTATGTTTTTTTTTAAGTTATTTTTTTATTTCTTTAAGTTTTTTATTCTAATACTTCTTTAGAATTTCTTTATTAATTTCCTTTAAGATTAATTTATGACAATTTATGCCCTATTTCCTTGGAGCTCATGAAAGATCCCCTAACTCTGTGCACCGGGCAGACATATGATTGGTGTAGCATTGAACCGTGGCTGGAGGCGGGTGATACGACGTGCCCTGCCACCATGCTGCAATTGGAGTCTCGAGAAGTAGTCCCCATTGCGGCGGTTAATGCAAGAATGGTGTTACTAGAGCCGCGGATACGTAGACAGTGCTCGGTACCAGTCCACGGCGAGGATGTGCGTAGACACTTCAATAATTGAAACATTAGTCCGAGATATTTCTCTTTTGCGCCCCAAATTAGAAGTATTCAAGAAGCTGCGGATTGCCGTGCGTGAGGACGAGGAGAGCCAACGTTGTTTGCATGATGCAGGCGGAGTGGTCGTGATGACAGCACTGTTGACATCTGCACTTGAATCGGGTGAAGATTTTGAGAAGGATGGTTAGGAGGTTTATGAGGAAGCGCTTGCAGTGCTTGTTTCGCTGGTTACAGTCTGCACGCATGATGAGCTCGTAGGGGTGGTGGTCTCCTCTATGTTGACCTTGCTTTGCAAAGGAAGCTTAGCTTTCCGTGTCAATGTTGCAACGATTCCCGCTGCAATAGCAACAAACATCGATGTGTATCTCAACGGAGCGGCTAAGACGTTCCAATCTTTAGAAGGCCTGCTCGGGGAGGATCTCTACCTCAAGGTTGTGAGGGCCAGCTTGCGAGATCTTCACGCCATGTGCAAGTACAGGCACAGATGCGTTCTTACAATTGAGGTGGGGATGGTACCAGCCCTAATTGATAGAAAATAACACTTAGAAATTAGTTGTTTATCATTCCAATCATTATATTAGTAAGTTATAAATACATTTTTTGTCATAAATATAACTTTATTAATTCTTTGATTCAATTAAAGATCTTATTTGCAACTTGTGGTTTTTTTCAACAATTTTTTTTTTGGTTTTTCTACTGATACTTTAATTTTTATAAAAACAAGTATGTTTTGGATATTTTACTTTATTTGTTTGTAAATAATTATAATATCATTTCTTTCTTTTTTTTAATATCTATTATTTGAATGCAACCAATTTTATAAAAGAAAAAGAAAGGGAATTAATTTTTTGCTTTTGTGCCTTGTACATATATTATTGGAAGTCTACCGTACCTAGTAATATATATAATACTTAATTAGACATGTTTTTTTTCAATTAATAATTTAATTTATGAAAAAACCAAGTATCTTATGTAAGATAGTTGTAAAAGAAATTATTTTGCAAATTAAAATGACAAAGATATTTTAATTATTGTTTATTACAATTTTTGACTTATATATCTTTATTTTTCCACCTTAAGTTTATGGATAACAAAATTTACATTAGAAAAGAGATCTTTGAGCATAAAAATCAAATTCTATGTATAAGATGATATAAACAATTATGTTCAAAGAAACAATTTTTATAACATTATAAAGAATTTTTGGTGAAGAAAGAGAAAATTTAAAAATACTCCAAAGACAATTTTATTAGAACCAAAAAAGATTTAATGACAAAACTAAACCAATGGGGTTTCTAATTGCTTATTTTCTTTATATTCTTTAGCTTTTTGGGTGCAATAATATGGAATTTTCATTGATTGAACTATTGAGCGTAAAAATAATTATAAAAATAATCATAAAAATAATAAAATATCTTTTATTACTTTTGATGCAATTGCATCTATACAATCACATCTAACTCTTATAAAATGTTAGAATAAAGTCTAAGAATTCCTATATATATATATATATATATATATATACACACACACACAAGAAAAGAAAAGAAAAGATTTTTAAAGTATAATTATAATATAATAAAAATAAAAATAAATTAAAAAATAATAATCCAATTAAAGATTTTTAGAAGGAGTTTGATATAAATGCTTTTAGAAAGACTAAAAATTAAAATAAATTCTATTTTTTTAAAAAAATCATCTTAATTAGAAAAAAGACAACATAAAGATAATGAAAAAGTTAGACTTATTTTGAAATAATTATAGTAAATAGTAGTTGCAATTCTTCCATAAGAAGTACAGAAGATATTTTTAGTATTGGAACCACTTCAAAAATAAACTAAATAAAAAATTACTTATGAAGTTGGAAGCAATTTTACAATAGAGATAAAAGTAATAAATAAAATATTTGTATATTTGTTAATTATATTAATTAAAAATCTATTATAGTATCAAAGGCCATATCTATAAAATACTAAAGTATTTAGTTTATAATTTTCTATGATGCTTTAAAGGCCTTAAATTAAAAAGATAAGAGGGAATCAAGCACCAAAATAGCTACACATGTGGTTACCTTGGCACCAAAGGAAGTTGTAAGTGCAACCATTGCTTTTAAGATATAAGAGCTTTTAGGTTAAATTAGTAAGATCTTTTGTTAATATATAGAAGTAATGAAGAAAAATAAATAATTAAAATAAAAATTGTTAAAATTCTAAAAAACCAATAAGTTTGAGCAAGAAGAAATATCATTCGGTAGTACAATGGGAATCAAAAAGATGTATGAGATTGAATTACAAAGAGACATAGATAGCAATTTTATGAAAAAAAAAAAAAAAAAAAAAAAAAAAAAAAAATCAAGTTTAAAGTGACCACATTGTAAGTTTCAAAAAAAAGTAAAAATGGTACACACAGTATTGAAACAAGAGCAAAGATCTCAAGTTTGACTTTAAAAATATTCCAAATTTTTCCTTAGCAAGTATAATTAATACAAATAGATAGTGTATTCAATTTATATTGTAGACATTCTTGATAAGGATATTGGTGTACATTAGAAATATATTTGTATTAATGAGATGGAAATTTTTAAAGCTTGTATTGTTTGTTTAGACATTAGATTTTTTTTCTTTTTTTTTCTTTTTGATAATCCACTTAATTCAATTGTAACATTGCAAGTATGCATAGGTATTCAAACATTGATATCAATATCAAGTTGCTTGATAGTACTTGGTATAAGAGCTAAGTATCTATGATGTAATTGATGTGGGTTCAAAAGTTGATAGATGTAAACACTTCTTAATGTTACAACTGGGTCCTTTCTTCTTAAAGATTGATGCATAACATGCAATGGTTTTTGGTAGATTATTCTTATAATGAGATATTTTTAGCAAAAAAATGTTATTTTATAACTTAAAAATAATAATTTAAAATCGAAAATTAAATTATCATATAATAAAATAATCTTGTCTAAGATGCAAATATTATCTTATTTTTTAAAATAAAATTAAAATAACATATCTTCAATTCACAATTTTATTATAAAAACCACATAAACATTGTTTAAAAAATTTAGATTGTTATCACATGTCTATTTTAATTGTACTATCAAAAGTAGGTTTATGAGTAATTTTGTTTTATTGTGTTGCATAATAGAAGTCTTATATATGTTGAAGTTGTAAAGAATTTTTAATGTGCCTTGTATTGTTAATTAATTTTAAATATTTTGTAAAAAATCATACTTCACATAAAAATCAATATTATTTATAAAAAAATAAATTAAATGAATAATATTTTTAAAACATCAATCTTTGATTTTAACTTGATTATTAATAAATGCATCTCATGACTTACAAAGTGTAATTAAGAGTTAGTTTAGTTATTAAAATTTTATAAAAACACGACTACTAATAGCAGTATTTTTAAAAAATTCTTAATATTTATTTTCATTTTTATTTTCAAATAGCATAAAAATTTGTGAGGATTTACTTGGGATGCTTTATCAGATCTATCATGTGACTATTTGAGCCTGTCCAAAACAACCTTACATGTAGTTAAATTACATATCATCAATTTTGTATTGCTAAAATGTAAAGGTATTTCTACATGAGCTTTGGTATCCTTATAAGTTTTAATTTTATTTTTAAAATACATAAACAAAGAATAAAATATTAATAATAAGTAAAAAAAATTGAAAATATTTGAATCTATTGGTTGACAATTCCTTAACATTTATAGATGAATCAATCTATCCATATTAAATACCAAAAAACACTTGAAAAAATAAAGATGTGGAGAGATAATACCTAAAAACCTTTTTTTTCTTAAAAAGTTGTAGAAACTTAGAAAACACATTCTATAAAATGAAATAAGTTTTATTTTTTTTCCATCCACAGTAGAAAAACAAAAGACCACGACTTTAACATGTAAGATGTATAAACATAACCTCACATAAGTGTTATTAACATGGATCTCTACTATTTATTCATCCACAAGTAACCTCTAAAAATTTAGACCTCCGAGGTCGAGAACGCAACACAGGGTTCTCTCTCTATCCCTAGGCGATCGCAGTCGCCGTCCGTCCGTCAGCATCGCCGTCGAGGAGAGCATCGGCGAGGCACGACCATGGGGGGTGGATAGAGGTTTCACGGCCACGTCTCCAAAGGGCGGGGGGGAGAGAGGAGGTGCAGCAGGCAACGCGGAAAAGCGCAGGGGAACGGGGGGCGGTCGATGCACCGAGGACGATCTCCTTCATTCGCATTTGCACCCGGATAAGGCGCCTTCTCCCCCCCTTTCACCCCCCAGCTCGCTCTCTCTCACATTTATTCTCTCCCACTCCCCTTCGCCACGCCCGCTCTCAGCTCGCAACGGGAATTCGCCTCGCTCGCAACCGTCGTCCAGGTGCCAATTCTCTCTTAGCCCACGCTTCCTTTGCCCACGCACTGCAATCCTGTCTCACAATTCTGGATGCGGAGATCGCCCCCCTTACTGTTGCTGCTTCGAATTCTTTGAGGGAGGAGCTTGAATTTGGAGTTTTGAATTCGTGAAATTGTGGGGGGAGGGCAAGTAGTGTCGGGGTGGATTCGAGATATTGGGATTTTGCCTCGGTCTTGGTTGTAGCTCCCAGGTTTTGGTTCTGCAGTGAGATATTGCGCATGTTGGATTCGGTTTGGCCCTTGCGAAGCGTGGAGTTCTTGTGTGGGTCCGCGCCGAGTTGTTTGATGCAAATTGGAATGTGCGTGCTTGTGCGTGACGGGATTTTTAGGGTGATGTGCAGAATTGTTGGATGTGGCGAGGGCGATGAGTGTGGCTTTGTAGCTTCGACACTGCGTCGTCTGCGCAGTCTGTGAAGATCTTGACTTGTAAAAGTCTGATAGCCGCTTTCCTTTTGTGTAGATCATCATGGCGACTGCCGAGGTTACCAATGTGACCGAGTATGAAGAACTCGCAAGGCAGAAGCTCCCGAAGATGGTGTTCGACTACTACGCTTCAGGTGCTGAGGACCAGTGGACCTTGAGAGAGAATCGCAACGCTTTCGAGCGTATCAGGTATGTCGTGTCGCGCCCGAATGTGTGCATCCTCTCCACTTTCTAGTTGTGATCACCATGACAGTGCTGATAAAAAAATCTCTGCGACTTTCCCAGCTTGGAATTCATTAACTGTGATAAGTATGCAGATTCCGGCCCCGCATCCTCATCGACGTTACGAAGGTGGATCTGACCACCAACGTATTGGGCTTCAACATCTCCATGCCCATCATGGTCGCTCCCACCGCCATGCAGAGGATGGCGCACCCGGACGGTGAATTGGCCACCGCCAGGGCTGTTTCAAAAGCTGGGACGATCATGACGCTGTCGTCGTGGGCGACCAGCAGCGTGGAGGAGGTCGCGTCCGTAGGACCTGGCATCCGCTTCTTCCAGCTCTACGTGTACAAGGATAGGAACGTAGTCGCCCAGCTCGTACGCCGCGCTGAGAGAGCCGGCTTCAAGGCCATCGCCCTTACCGTCGACACCCCTCGCCTTGGACGCAGAGAGTCAGACATCAAGAACAGATTCGCTCTGCCAAGTCACCTCACTCTCGCCAACTTCGAGGGTCTGGATCTCGGAAAGATGGATAAGACTCAGGACTCTGGATTGGCTTCTTACGTCGCCGGCCAAATCGACAGGTCTCTGAGCTGGAAGGATGTGAAATGGCTGCAGACCATCACCAAGCTCCCAATCCTCGTCAAGGGAGTCATCACTGCTGAAGATAGTAAGCGCGTCCTTCATGTCCTGAGCACCAATTCACCATTTAGAAACCTGAACCTGATTCCAGATTGCCATTTGTTTGCAACTACTTCCTGCAACTAAAGTTTTGTGCATGAAATTGATGCTGCAGCCCAGCTCGCCATTCAAAGCGGAGCCGCAGGTATTATAGTATCAAACCACGGCGCCCGACAGCTGGACTATGTCTCAGCAACCATCTCAGCTCTCGAGGAGGTTGTGCTAGCCGCACGCGGCAGGGTACCAGTCTTCCTGGATGGAGGAGTCCGACGTGGAACCGACGTTCTCAAAGCCCTGGCTCTCGGAGCATCTGGTGTCTTTGTGCGTAACCCAAAACACTACCCCCCCCCCCCTGTTCGAATCGGTTCCCTAGCTTACTGTGTCGCCACCTCGTGATGATCACTGATTTACCCGACCCATCGAACCTCGATGCATGACTGAAACGATGTGGTGTTTGCTCAGGTTGGAAGACCCGTAGTGTTCGGCTTGGCAACGGACGGCCAGAAGGGGGTGGAGAAAGTGTTGCAGATGCTGAGGGACGAGTTTGAGCTGGCGATGGCGTTGGCCGGATGCACGAAAGTGTCTGACATCAAACGCTCCCACATTCAAACCGAAGCGGAGCGACTGTACTCCAAGCTGTAAAAGCCTAGAACACGCACCTCGAGCCCATTTCAACACCGATGCGGCATGGCCTCAATCCTTGTACAATAGTTCCTACTGTTGGTAAAATTGGGTCGTGATTGCTTAGAGTGATTCTTCTTCGAGGCTTGCAGTGTCTAAATCCACTCACTTCACAGCGACTCGTCGTTTGCGTTGGGCTGGCTGGCCGAGGACGATGCTCATGGCCCATGGCTTCTGGCAACTCTGATTTCCAATGTGCCGAAACTCTCTTATTGATCTAGTATTTGTAGTGCTTGGTGATTTTTGTGAATTTGCTACTAAATACTGTGAACGTACATATTGATTTATTTATTTTTAAATGTTTAAACATCTTTGATAACTGTTTTGAGAAAAGTTATTTTGACTGTGTTTGTTCCGTCTTTTGCTGATTTTAAAGCAATTTCTAAAACCAGTCTCTGTGTTTATCACTAGCAAACAAAACAAAACAAAAAAAAAAAAAAAACAGACACTGTATACCTTCCTTTACAAAAAATCTTTATAAAAAAGGCACTTGAAAATAATTGTAAAAACTTGAAACAAAATATTGCATGTAAGCAAAATAAATCTCGTGCTAATACTTATTGCCAAATTATTTAGCAACTATATAACAACCGATTGCATATGCTTTGATACCACTACCAACAATGCTACACAAAAATAAAAATAGAATGATTCGAAAGAAACAAAACATATAATGATAAATTATACCTCACCAATATGCTATAACAAATTATTGTTTAATATACTTGCCTATTTTCGACACATGTATATATATATATATATATATATATACGTAATTATTTATTTGTTACTGAAAATTGGAAGCAATCAAGTTACTTAAATTGAAACATTATACTTTGCAACAATTTCTTTAGAACCACCAAAGCACATCAATATAATTCCATATATAAACATAAACACTATGTCCAGAACTAATAACAAATAACAAACAATTAATAATTAAAGACAATAACTTATCACCAATTGTTGATGGGTATAAAACTAGATACTAACAAAAATATGATGGCCTCTAAGAAGAAACCAAGACACTTGTTTTTTACTTATTATACCCAACAATCTTATGGTGATATCATTTCCTCCAACCCATGAATATAAAACTCTTAATTATTACTCTGATAACTTCATGAAATTTGCAATAATGTTCTTTTCTTTCCATAATAATAAATAATTACCTCATAAACCGAATTTGGCTCTTGATGAAGCATCATCAAAAAGATCATAAAGAATACAACTATTTAGACAAAAAAAACATTCCATAAATACTACTTCTTTAACTCTCTTGGCATGTTACATTCCCAAAACTAACACATTAAAAAAAATAATGGCATCCAACATTGGCTTACATATATTCTTCTATGTTCTCTTGTTGTATTCTTAATGAAAGATAAAAAATTATTTTCGTATAATCATTAACCATTATATTGCACAAAGGCTATATATTTTTTTAATACGAGTGTCTACTAATTTCATTCTGTAAGTATGTTCTAAAAATAGATTTGAGCACTTGAACCAACTCTCTTCACATAGTTAACAAAGAAACATGATCAAAGTGTGCAACAGCTTGGAGCACTGTTTCATATTAATTGGCACGATCACAGAGGTTCACTGTAGAAAAAGGCACTTCAAAGTGAACCAGAATTCCTATGATGTATTCAAAGATGTTGATGTCTATTCAAAAGTATGCCCCACATTTGTGCTGAATCCTTCTAGCAGCTCGAGTTGAATGTTTTGCATTTCAATCTCACTCTGCACAAATAGAGTTACATGATCCAAGAAGTGCATAGGATGTTGGATACTAGCCATTTCGCACCCTCACTCACACGCTGGGTGCACAGTTTAAGATGTTGCTAAATCTTGCTCATCAAACTAGTGAGCATTCGCTGCTTGAGACGCGAGCAACTGCAATAGTTAATGCCAAACCCAGACAGTGGTCAACGACAAGAGTGTGTGCTATGCGGGCCACAGACATTCTTCGTTTTCTTCAGTGCAGGTCCAAAAACGTTGGATATGCTAGCTCAAAGAGGAAGCACCGCAAGACCCTGCTTACGGGCTTCCTTCTCAGCAAGCGTGGCGTAATGCATCTCCCTTTCCTTGTCTCCCCTCGTGCCCTGTTTAATTTCAACCCACTTCTTCTTCTCCTTCCTAGCAACAGGCACACGAGGCTCCAAAACTCCCCTCCGCTGCAAACTCTTGAATCTATCCCGGATGAGCACGGGGTATGCTTTCAATTTTCTCAACGATCCACTAACTTCTGAGCTCAACAAAACTTGCTTGGGCTCTGGTTTGAACTTATGGCGTCCAAGCCGAGCTGGACCCAAAGCCCTCTTCTCCTCCCGCGAAACCTTGCGTCGAATTCTACGTGATTCCTGCTCTTGGTCCTCTTCCTTGATGCTCTCTGTTATCTCGGGCAGCTTCTGAATATCCCTCTTCAATTTTTGAATCCTAATTCTCTCGGCATCTGCTTTCAATACCTCTTTCCGCCGCGCTTTCCTGTTGATATCAGCTCGCGTGAGTTTCTTGAATTTCTTACCCTTCGGTTGAGTGACAACTGCTCCATCATCGCTCCTTGCATCCTCCTCTTCATCATCATCCTCCTTGGCTACATCCAAGAAAAACATATCCTCTTCAGTAAGGCCATGGTCAGGCACATGTTTGGGCACAGGCGCTGGCTCCAGTTCCTTCAATATCACCTTCTTCATCTCATCCGCTACTGCCACACCCAGAGCCTCTTGGTGATCGACAAAGGACGGATTATATGAACACCCAGGCATATCAACTTCCACTGGCGGAGCCGATACCGTCTCCTTCTGGACTTTCCTAGCCTTCCTCCCCACATCGTCCCCCCCACTCCATGGATCAAGAATACTCAACCCGTTCTCCTTCTGAGGAGCAACTTTCACTTCCGGAGGCTTCACCGTCGCCTTTGCCATCGGCTTCGCATGATCCCTGTCCTTGCGCTTCTTGTTCGTATGTCCGGGCTCTTTCAGCACAGGAATCAACGAATTGCTCTCCAGAATACTATCTGCATGAAGCACCTTCGCCCTGTGTTTGTCCACTTTCCGCGCAACCTTAATATCCTTGCTGGTGTCGACGAAGAAGAGCTCCTCGCTGGGGACCTCCTCCAAAGCTCCCCCGCTACGCTCCACCAACGCCGTCTGCTCCACAAACGCGTCCACATCCTCCGTGCTAATGTTCTTTCTCCATTCGCGTTTCCCTTTGCGAGACGTCTTGCTCTTGGATTTCTTTCCCATCTTGCGAACTGAAGCTAACAACAACAAACCCACGAACGAAAAAAAAAACAAGCACTCACCAATGAGGGTAAGGCGCGACCCACCAAAGCGTCGCGAACAATTGAAGATTGCAGGCTGCGAGCTCGAAGCTCGTCTCCCACGAAAGGGACGACCAAACTCACGAGACTCCCTAAACCCTAGAACCCTGAAAGCATAAACCCTAAAAGTCTCTGTTTTATTGAATGAGGTGGGTCCTGTTTTTAGGGTTTTCGGTCCACTCTGGTTTGGGCATCCGACCGATGCCAAAGTTGTTTGTAAGCTTTCTGTGACAAAACAGTTTCTTATCAATTTTGCCAGTATAACGTGTGTTATGATAATTTTAGTTTATCATCACCTCATCAATCAAATATGATGACAGTGAATTTATTTTGTGTACTGTGTTATTTTGAGACAAATATATAGATAGATATATATAGAATTGAAGTTTCTGATAAATCAATTGGACATAAACGTTGTTCTGGTGATGTGAATTTATCGCAAGATTATTTAAAACTGTGAATTTTTGAGGAAGCAGGAGTCCTTTTAAAAACAATTTACATATTGATGAAAGTGTGTCATGGGAGTTAGTATGTTTGTAAATTTTGTGCTTATAAAAAATAAAAATAAATGGACTTCATAAATAATCAAATTGAAGATTGCCCATGGTGCTTTTAAATATAAATTAACAAATCAAATAGTTTTACAAATAGATACAAAAAAAGTTTTCAATGGATTGATTGCTGTATAAAATTCTAATCTTTTAACCATAGCCCTACATCAAATATATGTCTCGGTTTTATCCCAACAATAAAACTTATCCAAATTTCCAGGTATTAATTTATACTTTTGAATCAGTCAAATCTTTATTCTGCATAGCTCATTGTGCGAGAAATTCTCTTCTTTTAAAGTTAAAGAACCACATTATCAAATGACAAATAATTGGTCTACAAATTAAATGTTATACATATTGAAGACTTCAGTTTAATACTGGTAAATGTTTTATTTTAAGTAAAATTAGCATATAAGATTTTTATTTTAAAAGATTATAACTTGGTTACTGTTGAAACATATGTCATAATTTTAAAGTTTTTAACTTTGATTTTCAAAAATTATACAATCAAGTAAAATTTTCAAGCAGTCTTGGAATTTTTCAAAAATATCAGTAACTGTTCTCATGATCAAACTTTGGAATAATTTCTCCTTTGAAATCATAAATCCTTTTCATCTTATCTGTCCCTTTTCTTGTGAACTTGATGTCAAATTTTGCATGTCAATACACCCATCAGTGTAACCATATTATCAAATAATTCACCTAAAATGTAAAACAAATACAATAGACTTCAATTCATTATCCAAAATTTTATTTTTTGATAATAAAAAAACAATGAAAACAATCACATATTACACATATTTTGTGCTCCAAACAATCATAAAGATCATAGTCTATTAAGAATACTAGAAAACCTTTTCTACACCTCATCCACCTCAAACAACCTTCCTCATCTTCCCTTACCTCTACTTTTCTTTTTCTTTTTCTTTTCTCCTATTGTACATATTTTATTTTATATTAAATGATGAATGGTTATTTATTATTATAAAACATAAAAATATTTGAAATCTTCATTTGAAGTATAATTTTTTTGCAAGTTATTTTTTATCAATTCTACATTGTCACCTGTTTGTCTTTCTGACTTCGAGCGATTCTCTCTAATACATAAAATACAACAATTTCGAACTACTATGAGTCTTATTAAGACCAGTTATTACATAATTTAATTAAAAGAATAACTAATTATTAATACATGAGAAATTATTGTACAATACTGATTACATTCTAACATGTGGTTGGTCCATATCACAACATTGTCAATATCACACACATAAAAAAAGATTTGAATCTCTACAATTGAAACCCATAGTATGTACAATCTACTTTGTTGAATACAATGGCTTCTGTTGAAAAGATTTAAATTAAAAATTCTCCAATTTGCTTTTTGTAATGAAACATATTAAGCATCTAAGTCTTGTTTATTTTTATTAGAAGCTTCCACATTTCCTACTTCATACATGAGTTTTAAACAATATAAATATGTGTGATATTTTATACAAGTATTTCAAAATCCATCATTTTTTTTTTATAGTTATAGGTTCTTACTAAAAACTTAAGATGAACAAAAGGGGATTGCCTACATGAATTTCATGTTTTGATAACTCTCTTAAAATATTTGGCTATTGTAGATTAGATATAAACATAACAAACAGATTGGGGCTTGCTATATATTTAAATTATGCCCATAACAGCTTGGTAGCAACCATGGATATACTTATCACTTTATAGTATAAAAAGAAATCAATCAATCAATCTTTAGCATAAATTAGTCTAAATGGAATGTTGGTCAAACTAGAATCAACAAAAGTTGCAACTGATTAATTTTAGCATAGTAGTCAATATGATATTGCTAGAAAAGTCTACCAAATTGATAGATATTGTCATATTTAAGCTTGTAAAAACACAAGCAATATGGTGCATAATCTATTGTTCTCATGTACATCCTCTTTTTAGATTCTAATAATATTTTAAAGGTAATATTCTAATAATATTTTCTATGTAGAAACATAATGGAATGTTTTAGAGGATTATGTTTATTTATTTATTTATTGATCTTAAACAAAGAGCCACCACCAAAAAAAAATAAAAAAATGATATATATATATATATATATATATATATGTATATCAAATATAATTTCTTTATCAATAACAATTGTACTAGTTTTATATTTATGCACAAACTCTTATCTAAAGAAGTTTAGATAATGAATTTATTTGTAAATATCATATTAATTATGAATTGAAATTAAAATCTTATTTAAAAAAGAAAATATGAACAAAAAGTTTGATTTATTTTTAAAAGATATGAAATAAAAATAAATTCGAATAAACATAAGAGAGTTAATTTTGGCCAAAATGAACTTTTTATAGCATGTAGTTCTTTGCATATATAAGTGAAACACCTTATTGAATACTTCTTAAATTTTAGTTCTATTTTTTTCTAAAGATATAAAGATAATATATATATATATATATATATATATATATATCGCCAATATGGAATTTATTATTGCCTATAGCACTATTAAGTAATTCCTATAGCATCATCTAATGATATCTTAGAGTATATCTTTAAACCCCTTCTTCTTATCAAAGATTTCAAAGCTCAATTTGCATGGAAGCAATACTAATTGCTAATTAGTGGATCTTTTTTCATTGTTAAAGAGTACTTTTATTGAAATTATGTTGTAATTCCTTACTCTTATGCTTGAATGTGATGGTTTGTGCAAGTGAGTTGTCTTTTAAGATCATATAAAAAACTAAAATCTTTAACTATAGACCCTATGTATAATGTCCTTTTAGAATACAACAACATCTTATAACAAAAAAACAAACATGATTTGAGGATGTTTCATTTCAAGAAGAAATTCAAATTGAAATTCTCTTGCACATAAATAGACACCTCCTAATTCAATAAAAAAAAGAGAAAAGAAATATAAATACATTCATCTCTTTTTTTGGTGTTTTTCTTTGTTTTGTTTCTCAAATGTCTTGTCCATCACAAATTGCACAATAAAAAAGAGAAATATGAAATAGACCCAAGTTTTTATTGATTTAACCTACCCATGATGAAGAATATAGTAATCATGATGAATGTGGTTGATTTTCATTGATTTTGGATCCAATAGTAGAGAAATGATTTAAATGTCATTTTATTTTTTTCCTAACTCAATGGTTAGGATGGATGGCCAATTTAATTAAAATTTTGGGTTACGTCATTTAATTAAAATTCCCCATAAAAAATTGCAAAAGATTTTTGCAAAATCCATGAGTTAGTTTCATCGCTAAACAAGCCACATTCATCAAGAGGCTACTTTCATCCACAAGCTAGTTCCATCCATCCATCCATCCATCCATCGAGAAGGGACTTTCATCGACGGGCAGACGAGAGGGGGGGGAGGAGATTGGAGCTGCCCGGCTGCTGCTGCCCCGAGGGCTCCTCCTCCTGCTCCTCGCCAATCTCCTCTCCTCCCGTGAGCTAATTGTGCTTATTTACGGTTGTTGTCACGCTATGGATTCCCGTTTGGTTTGAATACGCTGTGGACTTGTTGTGGGTTAGGAGTAGTTCTGAAGACGGGGAAAGGTGTTGCGGGAAGGGAGAGAGAGAGAGAGAGAGAGAGAGATGGGGCAGGGTCAGTCCGGAGGATTGCCCAAGCCGGGGCCCGGCGGAGACCGCAACAAGGGCGATGGCGCGAAGAAGGAGAAGAAGTACGAGCCCGCGGCTCCACCTACTCGCGTTGGGCGCAAGCAGCGCAAGCAGAAGGGCTCCGAGGCTGCGGCGCGATTGCCTGTGGTGACGCCTGCAACTAAGTGTAAGCTGCGGTTGCTGAAGCTGGAACGCGTGAAAGACTATCTGTTGATGGAAGAAGAGTTTGTGACCAATCAGGAGCGGTTGAAGCCGCAGGAAGATAAGAACGAAGAGGATCGGTCTAAGGTCGATGACCTACGGGGGTCGCCGATGAGTGTAGGCAACTTGGAAGAAATTATTGATGAGAACCATGCGATTGTGTCGTCGTCCGTGGGTCCTGAGTATTATGTGAATATTTTGTCGTTCGTAGACAAGGATCAGCTGGAGCCTGGCTGCGCAATCCTCATGCACAACAAGGTGCGATCTCCTGAAATTGAGCATTGTTCAACTATTGTGCATTCTCTTGCATGTTTCAATATGATCTTTGGCATGGTTATCATATGTCCAGGATGCACGAGCAAGAAAATTTATTTAGGGTTTTTTCTAGTAGAAACTATACGTATCTTTTGCTGAGTTTTTCGTTTTGGATTTCAGACATTTCCCCTAATTCCACCCTAGGGTCATACTTGAATTTTGCAATGTTCACCAGAACTTGTTTTTATGATTAACCAGAAAGATGGGTGATCAAATTAGGGTTTTTTTTTTTTTTTTTTTTTTTTTCCCCAGTTTGTCCCCTCTCTTTGACTCTCTTGATTAGAATAACCTAGACTTGAAGCTTGGGTATGATAACTCAGAGATTCTCCAAGGAGTTTCTCAGTTGTGCGCGAGCGTAAATTATTGGTTGATTGTTTTCCTTGTGATTCCTTGTGTAAATGTCAAAACATCTTACCTACTGATAAGTTTTGATCAGTTATCGTTTACCTCTTTTTTAGCAATTTTTCTTATCACCACCTGGTAGCAAGCATCGAAACTTTTCTCAACTAAATTTCTATTTTTCTCTATGGCTATTGATAGAGTAGTTGAGTGGAGGCAAATGATTCACTTTTGGTTTGTGCAGGTCCTTTCAGTGGTTGGGTTGCTGCAAGATGACGTGGACCCTATGGTGTCAGTGATGAAAGTTGAAAAAGCTCCTCTAGAGTCATATGCCGATATCGGTGGACTAGATCCTCAGATTCAAGAAATTAAGGAAGCAGTGGAGCTACCCTTAACGCATCCAGAGCTTTACGAGGATATTGGTATCAAGCCTCCCAAGGGGGTTATTTTATATGGTGAACCGGGAACTGGAAAGACGCTTCTTGCCAAGGCTGTTGCAAATTCAACTTCTGCCACGTTTCTTCGCGTTGTAGGAAGTGAGCTAATTCAGAAGTATCTGGGGGATGGACCTAAGTTGGTGCGAGAGTTATTTCGGGTCGCGGATGAATTATCTCCTTCCATTGTCTTTATTGACGAAATTGATGCAGTGGGTACAAAGAGGTACTTTTCGGGTCCTAATTATTGTAATAAGCATCATTCTAATTAAGTTCTCCATTTTGAGCACCTCTTCGCTGAGGTTGGCGATTCCATTGCGGAACTTATTCAGTTATGCTTGAGTGCTTAGGGCCTGCGACGTTGTTCCTGGCTTTCTGAATCTCAGCCTTGAATTTCTATCTAGCATAGAAGCAATTTTGAACAAGTCCACCATGGCTACTTGCAGTTGTTTAGTATATCGGGGGGACGTTTGTAAATTTCCGTTAGCTTCATGTGACGTTGACTATCTAGCTTTCCCTGATTCTTTTGTTTGAAGCCTTGTGTGATAAAAACACTGTGTGGGCGTCTTTCACTGACTCTTGTGGTGCTTAGCGGCGTGTCGTGGTTTGGTTTATAGTTCTGATTACAGTCATAAATTCTGTCTAGTAATCTTGTCTATTCTGAAAATTAACATTGGTACTTCATTGCAGATATGATGCTCATTCAGGTGGGGAAAGAGAGATTCAGAGGACTATGTTGGAGTTGCTGAATCAGTTGGATGGATTTGATTCTCGTGGAGATGTGAAGGTTATTTTGGCTACCAATCGTATTGAAAGCTTGGACCCGGCGTTGCTCCGACCTGGTAGAATTGATCGTAAGATAGAATTCCCATTGCCAGATATCAAAACCAAGAGGCGAATTTTCCAGGTCTGTTAATAGCAACTTTGGTTAGTCTTCCACCTTTGCTTTGATAATACTTTTGCTATGCTTGGGACGTCTCCATCTTTGTAACTTTTCAGGATCACGTCATCGCATATGCCTAGTGCCTAGCATTATCGTCTGTCGATTTCTGTACCGCGCAGAATTATTAGAAATGTGGCGGTGCTGCTTAACTTCTTTAAAAGGAAATCAAATCTAAAGTTTTTTTTTTTTTTTTTTTTTTTTTTTTTTTCTTTTTTGCTTCCTCGCATGCTCACCTGCCATTGCTTCTTATGGTGTCAGCGTATTTGTGAGGAAGAAGCATAGCTATTCTAACCTCTTCAAACATAGTGACTTATGACTAAAGATCTAGGTTTTTTTCCTCTTTTTTTGGTTATTATGTGTGCAGATTCATACTTCTAGAATGACTATGGCTGATGATGTAAACCTGGAGGAATTCGTAATGACCAAGGATGAATTTTCTGGTGCTGACATTAAAGCCATTTGCACGGAGGCTGGTCTTCTTGCGTTGCGTGAGCGCCGGATGAAGGTAAGATTGTCGTCTTTTGTACTTTGCAGTTCGTGAATGGAGGCTAATTGACCAGCTGAAATGAATAAAAGTTGCTTTTGATCAAAAGACCTGGTTTCTTGTAATGAGTTGTTATTGTTTTGGATGGTGATCTTGCAGGTGACTCAAGTTGATTTCAAGAAGGCCAAAGAGAAGGTAATGTATAAGAAGAAGGAAGGTGTACCTGAGGGATTATACATGTAGATTATTCAGTGCAGGTGGTAATCTTTCCTGTATATTCTCCTTACATGTTTTTTTCGATTGAATCGAGTTCGATCATTGATATCATTACTATGCTCAATTTTTTATGGCTTTTTGTTTGAAATTTTGCATGATTGTGCAAACATAGAAGGAATTTAGTTGTCAGTTTTTTTCTCCTTTCTGGATTGATTGTTATGTCTTACCTGTACATGGTCAAGGATCGATTGTCATGCCTCAGCTGTTCCAGTCTTTTATCGAGTGCAATAGGATTCATCTGAACTTTTGGCTTGTTACGATTAGCAGCAGCCTGCAAGTGTCCAACTGATTCAGTGTGAAGTTCAAATCATGATCTAATGCGTTGTTATCATATCAAAAGGTTTTCTGGGAATGAAGCTTTCTTCTTTTATCAAAGAATATGAATAAATGTGAATGTGTAGCTTGTTAGCATGTTCAAGTTGCCTCTGGGCTACCCTGCAAGTCGCTGGGACTAGTATCTCAAAACTCCGCTTTCCAAATCCGATATCTTTAAAAATCCTTTTCAGAATCCGATAGGAAACTTCGATGAAAACTTAACTTCGGTAAACTTCAATTTCGTGGGTATGCCTTTCAAATTTACCAAAGATTTACAAGCCTGATCTCCTGTGATATCTTTTCAAATCACAACGATGCCAGAGAGGGATCAATCGATACACATCTGTCTTCAGAGGTATCCCTTCCACCTTAGATGCCAGATCGTAGCTTCTAGTGTTGATACCAAATCTGAGATATCGCAAAGCCGAAGCTGGACACCGAATCTTCATGCGACCAGTTACGTCAAGACAGGTTTGCAACGTTCTCTGCAGCACAAACTCACTGCTTCTTGACCGGACGGTCATGCCAGCTACGCCACTCCGCACCAGAATTCGTAGCAGCTCAGAGGAGCGATCATGCTTCTTCTCACGAGGCTGCTGCAGTGTCGGTGTTGATATCCCAAGCTACTGCAACAGTCTTTGTCGCTTTGAGCTTCAGCATGTGACTTCCCATGTTGATATTATGTTAAGTCAATTTAAACATACTCTGAGTCCTTCAAGATAACTTCAGACTTCCGCAATTGCGATCTCTTTGTCGTCGACTGACTGTAATGACTCGCAGCGGTTTCATACAAAACTGGCGCGCCAGTTGTAAGAATCACTAAGACATGTATAGAAATCGGAGTGTGATGAAGTGCGAGGATGTACGTGATTAAGAGAAGAGAGCAGGAGTGCACCTGAGAGCACCCTGATTTTATTTGATAGCTGCGCGAAACATACAAGTCTTTAAAGCGTTAGAACTTTTCCGTCTCGTACACATGTTTCCGTCCCGCAGAGCCATGTGATTTCAACCACTTGATTCTGCTTAAATCTACGGTGCAGCCTAGTATGCTTCACAATACGTAAAGATCAGCGTATAAGGTGCAAAACCAGTTTTCGTCTACACTACATATCTGTCAAACAACTTGCGTCGACGTCTATTCCTTGCCGCAGATTCCGGCAGCGCAATCGCAGTTGCCACACTTCCCTCCGTTCTCTTTTGCGCAGGTTCCTGTCAAGATCCAGCCATCACCACCGTCAACAACAATCTTTGCACCACCCAGTCCAGCTTAAGAACCTATGGAGATCCTGGTGGCGTTCTCGAATATCTGAGCTTATCGGAAACTATTAGACTTGACTGTGTCGAGGAGAACATGAAGAATAAAGGTAATGGTTGCAGGGTAGAACCTGCGGCACAATCACAGTTGCCACATTTGCCGCCATTCTCCTTGGCGCAGGTGCCTGCTGCGCAGTCGCAGTTACCACACTTCCCATTATCCTTGGCCATTGTGTTGAGTAGTCGTCAAGTGTCTGAAGCTGCAAATCGTCAGAAGCTCTGACTACTGTTAAAAGAATACTCTTGATGTCATGAAATTTCAGAAAGTGAAAACTTATGAAGCAATCCAAAGACTAGATAGGTCAGCTCTATCTTGCAGCTCCCGCCTGGTTGCTCGCTCTAACACCAAAATTCCCTGAAAGGTTGAGAGCGTTCTATTGTACCAGGCCAACGCTCCTCTTAGTGATTACTACAGCAGATTACGAGCTGCGCAGAAGTGGACGCTCTATGTACACTCAAAGCGGAAGCATGGTTAGACCGTTAGGGCAGAAACTCACCGCTGGAATGAAGCAGAAGCACTGGAATGCAATAGAAGCAAGCTTAGCGATTGTACCACGCAGAAGAATTCTCCCTCCTCACCTTATGTAGTAATTTATCGAAGCCTGACTGAGTCCATAATAGATCTGCCTTATCAGCTGGCAAGAATCTTCTCTAGCTCGCTCACTTGGCGCTTTGGGGGTGTGCTCCACAGATTGGTACAGCATACGTTACCTTTTTGGGTGCGCATAGGTTTGTAGTTGGACGAGTAGGACATGGCAGTAGAATTTCACACTGTTGGCTCACAGGAGCACACGCTCAGCACACGCTACCGCTGCCGTTATACAGTCTACCATCACTTTCTACTTACAGTTTCAAGTTACAACACAAAGCCCCAAATTTTGTATATTCCTTTCATGCGAAGAAAGCAGTGAGATGGGACCTGCTTTTGGAAAAAGCGACAGACTTCAAACATGATCAGGGAACCGTTTAGACCATGGTGATGAAGCAGTTTGTGGCTAGATGAATTGTTGAAGGAGATGAGATCAGAGGTGGTTAACTAGTACTTTTAGCAGTGCATCCAAAGTAGTTTTGAAATCAAAGGAGTGATATAGACTTGTCGATGCTACTCCTTTTACCACCCAGACAGGCCAGTAAGAGACCATAATGGATCTGATAATTTACGCCTATGCACAGTGTTCAGATGAGACAGGTTGACCATGATGGATCAAGTTTGGTTTTTTTGATAGCTTTGGTTACAATCAAAGCAATTTCAGCAGTTAAGATTCAACCTGACAATGCAACAATCATGTTCATAGTTGTTTCACCAATCGAGGTGATATACAATAAATTAAACATCCATAGAATAAACCACAACTTGCTGCAAATAAACACAAGATCAGGACTTCCTTTTCAATTTGATGACTGTCAGGTTTTACTTGGATCTCTTCATGGTATCTGTCCTCAACTAGTGAAGGTTCAAACCACTTTTCGAATGTATTTTGAAGTGGGTAAGGGTTGACAACTTCCGAAATCAATCTTTGAAGTCTAGATGACATGTTGAAACTTTTTCTCACTCTGAACCAAATCTGAAACAAGCCAGAAGATTATCTCGACCTTAAGACATCTTATTAAATCCACCTGCAATTGTGCAAACTTGCACAGCCCAGCAAAGATTGCTTACTGCTAATACTTCACGACCGGCTTTGAATTTCTTTGTAAAAATATCCTCCAATGTAGGGTCTGAAGCGAAGAGAGGAGACTAGCATCAGGCCATGCGTAAGCGTCTAGGTTTCTTCCATTCTTTCTGACACTGCATCATTGCAGTTACAGATCTCAAGTAACCTCTTGAGTCGGTTCGGCTAGTCGTGGGGATTAGAAAAGAGTACAAAGCAGGTCAAAGCAAAAGAAGAAGGTCGATTGACAGTGGCCAATGTGACGCTGACAAACTTCCGATCGGGAGCCACTAATCGACCGCAACAATCAGAATAATAGCGTCTGAGTGCCGCATAAGCAACACCACAATGATACTTTCTAGATCCCCAGTCTGTGCAAGGTAGCGATTGTGTTCGTCTAAGCAGTTTCAACCATCGCAACCTTACACGGTGATTTCGGTTTAAACTAAAGCTGAAACCTATATGGCGTTAAAATGCTTCGGAGGAAATCAGTAACATTGCCTATTGGATGATTGTTTTAGTTCGGCATGAAAAAAAATCTTATAGAGCATTGTTTTAGAAAACTAGAGCTTAAGGTAGAGAGATGGGTAAAAACTTTACAAAACATTGACAATAGTAGTTGGGTATATTAAGTCTAATCTCGTACTTGTTCTCATGAAACATCACATCTTTAAATGCTCCTTCTCTAACTTAATAGAATGGTTCTTTAAACTGCCAAAAGTGATATCGATTGAATATTGATGCCCTCGCATATCTATCATTTGAAATGAAAAATCTTTCTTTTCCTTTTTGGCACTCACATTCGTACCAAGCTAAGATTGTTGGAACAGTTTTAATATGTTTTCTTTAATGTTTGAATGTTCTATTGACCTATTTTCTTTTAACTATGTCATAAATAAAGTATTCATTACATTAAGGGTGTTGCTACTGACACAACTTACCACTTGACACAATTTTTTGGTTTTTTTAATTTCAATAAAAAAATCTATCAATATTTTTAATGTATATTTTAAACTACGTGTACAATAATTTTTATTTTAGTAAAAAATAATCAAAAAGTTAATAAGAATAAGTTATGAGGAAATTAGCAAAGACTGGTAACAACACTGTGGCAGCATGAACATCACCCTATACTTAACCCGATATCGTACTTCAATTTTCATATATACAGAGAAAAATCGCATCTAATGGTTACTTCACATTAATCATTTTCTTCAGATTCGTTCATGACATGCTAAGTACTCACTTTGAAATTAGGGGTTTAACGAACCTCCCGCACCTCTGAAGTATTTAATTTTTCTTTTTGAGACTGCTTTTCTTAACCTTCCCCCTAAAAGTCCTTATGATTTGAGGGATCATGTTAAATCTATGTTCAAATGGATTATTAGACAACGTTCATCTTCGACTTCATTGACTTCATAATAGACCAGTCAGACACAGAAACCTTCATCCTGCAACTCTTTAAGTGTTCAGGCATAAATTGTACACAGCAACGTCACAAGAACGTACCACTTAGTTTACACTACTCGCAGCTTTTCACAGCATCGCTGCTTCTCAACACTTCCTACTACCTATCTGATCATACCTGCAACTTCTGCCCGATCATAGCTATATAGTACAAAAACCAATACCCCCAGCCGAACATCATCAAGCTTGCCTACATGAAATGGCATGAAGCCTGTGCTATTGAATCTATTGATCCTGGGCAAGCTCTGAAGGGGAGAGCTATTAAATGGCTGACATTCTCTAGCTAAATTGGTTTCTCTTGCTGAGAAAAAATTCCATTGATTCACAAGGGTATCTCGAAGGACGCAGACGCCATCTTGATATGAAGGGTTACTGCCAGAACTCTGGAACTGGAGTTTTTTTCATACAAAGGTGAGCAAGGTAAAATCTATTATTATATTATGTACTTGATGCTAAGAATCGCTCCAATCATCCTCATCGTCATCTTCGCCATCACTTCCAACATAAGCCTGCAAAACGATGAGAATAGAGTCAGTAAATGTCCCAAACTTCTACGTTCGAAGACACCTTCGATCAAGCATCAGGGGGGTAACCCTGATGCTTCGATTCAAAAACCCAAAAACTAGTTAAGAATGTCAAAAACTTAATACAGAATGCCAAAAACAAACCACTCGGGGATTGATCGACTTCCTACGTTCCTAATGTACAAGTGTAAACTATATTGTGCTAATTTTGCCATTGTCATATTACAAGTGTCCGCTACAATCACTGCAGCAGCAGTAGTGAACTTCTGATGCTTCAAAGAATGATGTGCGAATCGAGTTATTAAGAAGCGAGTTCAGTACCTGTCGAATAGCATTTGCTTTCTCCAGAATGGCGGCGACATTGATATTTGCTGAAGGTCGAATTAATGGAACTTTCTTTTCTGTACTCTCAGTCCGCCGTAGATCAAAGTACTGCAAAAATAAATAAATAACGAGTGAAAGTTTCAGTCAGCTAGCACATGATTCTATACAATCGTTGAGCTCATTGCTACTCAAGCAAGTAAATGCTACGAAAATTACAGAGAGGGATAATATACTTCAAAAGGTTGATTATCGTTGCATCAATGATCACCTTAGTTGTTTGGTCCTGCATTATGAATCTCTCATCAGACTGCAGAAGTTTACTATGACCAGGATCTTGAAACGTCAATGCCTTTATCTGCAACACAGAGCATATTCAATATCAGCACCAACTCTCACATTGTGTATACCAATTGCTAATAAAGGCCCCAAATTGAAAAAGGAGAACTAAAAACTAAAGAATAGTATATATATATATATATATATATCTATATCTATAGAAATGACCAGTTCCTTCCAAAAGTGCGCAAAATACTTGAAAGATATCAGCTCCAATGTAACAGAGTCTACCCACTGCAAATTTTGCTTTCCAACCACTTTTGTTTTGGTATCACAGCCAACTCTGGCAAGGTCGTCAAATGGGTAAGTGCAAAATTTCACAAGTTCCCTAGATGCAAGGAGCTTTTTACCAAATTCCAATTGTGTTGTGCGGCAGTTGCCATCGGATCTTTGGTAGGATTGATCGTAGGTTCTGGTGCTGCTGGAGATGGCGGTGACTCTTGTGCTTGAGTTGTAGAATTAATTTTCATAGGATGTTGGTTAGTGTCCAACCGTGAGAGAGTAACTGGTAAAAAAGACGGAGTTGAGGAACCAAAAGTAGAAGTTCCCAACTGTGCGTCCCTGATCTGGGAATCATCATTTGAGACTTTTGGTTCACCTGAAAGCACCTCATCTGACCCTTTCGATAATGCTGAAGAAGAAGAGTCAGAGGGATGTTGAGAAGCTGAAGTAGCTGTTGTACGCACAATGTCATGCTCATGATCAACCGTAGTATCTTCGTCTTCATCAAATTCTGGTTTAGAGGAAGGTCCTGATGAATGATCGTCCTCCTCCGACATTGTTGGCGAGTCTGGAGGAAGGGGTGAATCTGGCAGGCGATACACTTCCGAAACTGCAACTTCCACAGCTGTCTCTTCTGAAGAATCTGAACTATCTGAAAATAATGACCCTTCGTCCCATTCCTTTGGAGACTCCATATCTGATTGTGGAGGAGGTGAAGAAGATGGAGAGCTAATCTCAGACCGGCAAACTAGATTTGGTGGGAGTGAGGAGTCCGGATAGAGTGAAGCAGACTCAGATCGACCCCGCCACTTCAAAGAGCTAGCACGATCTAAGAACTTGGGTGGAGAAGTTGGGGGTGAATTAGACGCTTCTGAGCCAGGTGAAACTCCGATTTCCATTTTGGATGGCAAATCTGTTTGGGATCTTCCAGCCCACTGAAAAGCCGAATCCTCGTCCTCTCCAGCAAGATATTCCCTAAGGGGTGGAGAATCCGGAGGAGAATTCGACGCAGAGCTGTTTCGCGACTTGGGTGATAACCTTGTAGTTAAAATGGGTCTAAGATCGGCTGCGTCCATACCACCGAATGGGCTGGTACGGCCAGAATCTAACTGCATACTGATTGGCGAACTTGCTTGTAATGATGCCTTCGGGAATGTCAACAGAAAATGAAGGTCGGATTAGAAATGATTACGCATCATCTACACTGAGAAAAACAGCCCAGATTGTAACAAGTGATTAAATAAAACATCTGAAATCTAGAATTCAGAAATACTATTGTTTGGAACGAACACACGACAAACTACTGTAAGTACAAATCTGCTTAGATCATCTGACCGACTTACCTCATGAGCCATGCCATGGTGAGGTGAAATTCGTGTCAAAGGAGCATCCACACGGCCTTCTGGAGGACTATCAGCACGATAATCTATGTTTTCTGATGCAGCTTTCACTAGTCCAGCCTCCTGAACACTCCCAGCAATTGGTTGTCCGCTTTGAGATGATGTAAACCTGGGGTCCTGAGGTACACCAGTATTACTTCCAGCTCGCTCGTCATGATCATCTTCCAAGGCATGCGCCACGGAACGAGGTGACACAGGACTCTTAGCTCGACTGTGAGATTGAAATTCATGGATTTCAGACTCATTCTCAGAATAATTTGATGCGGGGCTCCCTGGTGGGCTCGGCGTGTCTTTAATGATAACACTTCCTGTAGGACTTGAAGGTAAACTTTCTTCATCTTTCACGGAATGACTATGGGAGTCATAACTTGCGACTTGTCCAAGAGGACTTGGAGCGAACTTTACACTTGGATTGGTGACAAAAATACACTGGGACCGATGTTTGGGGGTTCCTAGTGGACTTGTATGGACACTTGACGCGGGACTCTCTGAAGGATGAGGCGGAAGGATCAAAGAAGATCTAACAAAATTCGCAAAAGCAGGATTAGATGCGGGACCTTGGCGAAGTTCAGAGGAAGGGCCGGCTTCATCTAGGCCAGTTCCAGACCGAAGGTCAGAAGTAAGAGAAGTTAATGGGGTACTGCGATATGGGACTTCGGTTCCCATATGCGCAGATGCAGGCTCAGAAGGAGTCTTAAGGTCTTCACTAGAATATGGCTTGTGTTTGAGTTCTAGATTTCCTAGGCTCGAACTTTCAGACTCTGCATGTAAGTTTCCAGCATTTTCACTAAGATTAGAAATATAACCAGATCCTTCATTTGGTTGTAAAGGCACGCTGTCAGGCTCCGATCCTGACTTGAGATTCGCACGCGGTGAAGGAGAAGGGTAGAATCGAGGTTCCACAGAATTGGTTTCTTGATCACTGTCAAAGTGGGAACCAGTCTCGATGACGGTCACGGGAGTTGGAGGCGGAGGAGGACGCGAAGGACCAGCATGATCTTCTCCATCTGTCCATACCGATGCCGACGGTGGTTCAGGAGACGAAGAAAGGACAGGGGTCCCTGACCGTGGACTGCCGCGATCAGAACGACGTGCTGGTCGTGAGTATATCCCTGGAGGAGATTTAGTAATGTCTACTGAGATTCTAGGAGACCTAGATGGTGAATAAAGAGCATTGAAGGCAGGAGATTTTGAAGACACAGGGGAAGCCAATTCTGAGCCACTGGATACTGATGCGAGTTCAGATGAATACGATAGCCTAGAAAGCATGGAGTTACTTGGTTGTATGTCCTCTCTTTGTGAAGAGCACTGGGACGAGGGTGTTGGACTTGCTGCTGAGATCGTACGTGAACCCTCGTCATCAAATACTTCCTCAATTCGAATAGGAGGGAGATAGGGCTCTTTGTAAACTGTTTCCTCCGCATTCCGTGAGGCTTCAGAAGAATCCATCACATTGTTGTGTACTCTCTTAATTTTTGATAGGTGATCATCATGAAATGCAGGGTCTCCAGAAGCTGGCAAGCCTTCGACTTCAAATGCAGCAGCTGAAGGAGCACGAACACCCGCAGGAGGCTCAGTGCTACTGTAACTTAGCTGTTCATCCAAACCATGAACAGGGTCCGACCCACGTGCTAGACTAACAAATTCTTCCGCCGTGCTGCTAGCACCTGAAAGACCTCCAGATGTAGATGAAACTTGTGCATTAGCCAAGTCGACATCACTTATACTAGGTCCTCCTGAACTTGTTGATGAATTTGCTTGAGAACCTGAGAACCCAGAACCAATAACTGCGCTATCAGATAATGATCTCAAATCAACAATGTTTACCCCTTCCTTGTCATCCACTGCGGCGTCCTCTCTTGATGGGATATCAGCCGTATTGATTTTTGAAGCTCTACCAAAATCTGACCCCTGCAATTCCTCCATTGAGGCGTCACCCCTTGATATTTCTTGCAAATCGTTTTCAATATGAGGGATTGCGCCCACTTCAAGATCCTCTCTAACAACACGGTTTGTCTCTTTTGCCTCGACATCAGATGGTGAAACTTTCGACTCATTCGCACCTTTAGGGCTTTTGATATCCCCACTTCTAGGAATCAGTCCAACAGAAGGTACAGAATCACGATTTTCCATCTCAATTATCTTTGAAATTTTGCCTCCCTGACTTTCTGCAGCATTCCCCGGTTCAATGGGATGATAAAACTTCCTAGATATGTTGGCTTCAATATCCTTGGCACTGATTTTCAAGGGTGTTGATGAGACTCCTTCAGCCTGAGGCGATAAGACTCCAGTTGATGGCAATTGTCCTCCAGCTACTCTATTTTTGGGGCCGAGGTTCGATCGTCTTTGAGCTTGGGCTTGACTCCCATGTCCATGGCTTGCGCCTGAGACAGAATGTGATGAAGGAACTTCATCCTTCAGAGTTGAGGCCAATAGATGTGAAAAAGTATCCAGATCCTCTAAACTAGCTGAACCATAACGTACCCTGCACAAAAAAACAAAGAAAGAATAATAAGAAAGAAAATATTCAGTTTTGAGAGAAATTATTTCATTTGTTGGTGGATGTAAAACATTAATCAGACATGACAGATCTAACCGACTCAAGACATCCACAGTAGCTTGAAAACCGGCATCTCTTATCAGAAGGACGAAACATACATTCCCAAACCTCCTTCAATCGGCAATAAACAGATAGGAAAAAGAACCCTAGATAACAGAAAGCTGGTAAAATATACCTCGCTGGAATTTGAGTCACTGCAGCAATGGGCTGCCCAGTCTTGCGTCGCCTGCCCTTCTTCTGAAATTCATAAATACAAAGCAACATCAGCACTCAACTAAACATGGCTCCAAGAAAATAAACCAACTGCACTACAATCATAGTGAGATTGTTCACAGCAGAAGAAGAAGGGGATATTAGGAAAGGGTAATTCAAAACAAAATGAAAATGTAAATACAGCCTACGGAGTACACACTTCTGACTTTCTGCAAGGAAGTGAAACGCAAAACTTTAAGGGCTGATGTAAAGACAATGCTTAATAGATTACAAGTACCTTATCTCGCCGTGCCTTTCTCTCACGCTGGGCTCGTTGAGCTTTCATGAGCTCAGAGCTGGCCCATTCCACCTTAAAGAAAGATGGATCTGTGTATCTCTTTAAGCAGGCTCCAGCCCCTGCAACATCAAACCTGTAACCAGATAGAACAAGCTTTAACAGCTGTACCACGCCAAAACTACACACTGATCACGGAAAATTACAAAGCCAGCTGAAAGAGAAGTACGAGGTGGAAGAAAAATAGATTTCTACAATAGTAAAATTAACATGTTCTAGGACCAAATTTTGTCATGCAAAGAAATCATATAATTCATATTTAAGGGGCTGAGAAAATTCTCCTGTTAAGGAGATATTAAATGCCTCACACCAATTAAAAATACAATACAGCCTCTCAGTTATGATACATACTTATCAAGGAGGAATAGACGAGGTGGTCCTCGACATTCCTCATAGAAGTTGCGGATGAAGCGTGGCAATTCACCGGATGTGCAATGATTTTGGTCACTTCGTATGCTGACATGCCAGTCCGCACCTGATTTTCCAGCCCATGAAGAACAACAGCTATTGAAAGCGTGGAATTCGCAGAAAACTCTTAAAAATACAGGAGAACTAAAATTTTGTCCAAGGTTGTGCTTGAAATAAACAAAGCAGATATAGTACAACCCCTAAAATTCATTGGAACTACATTAAAGTTCCTATCACTTGCAGCACAGCGAACCCATGAGAGTCCCCAAAGAACAACAGCCCTAAGCCTTAAATCATTTTCTCCAAAAAGAGACGTATAAAGTTTTCCAGTTCATCAAACCTAGAGAAATCGGTATTCAACTAAACACCTAGAATAGACGTTCGTACCATTAGTGTAGGCAAATCGAAGCTGATTCGGTTCTGAAAGCAAAGCCCTTTCCACTGCGGGTAGCTCAGCCTCTAGCGACTGCACTCGTACGGTTAAATCATGCGTCCGTCCCCCAACAGTAACCAATTCATTGTGCAGGTCCCGGAACACTTCTGCTGCAAACCTATTTTTAGAACAGAAAAAATCTCAGTATTTCGCTGCATACACGAAGGGCTTGGTGTCTCGTTGTAATTCTGAAATTCGATTAGTTAATGATAAATCAACTTGAATAGGCAAGGAGGTGAATGCGTGTAAAGTTAAAGTTTCGATCAAGCGTTTAACAGAGTCAAACACCAAACGAGGGGAGTCCATGACTCAAACTATTTACTGCTCATCGTTACGCCTTGGACTAACAAAAGTTAACACTACGTTTGAGTGCACTTGGACTAGAACCAACCCTCTTACACCAACTTGTGAAAAAGGGATTAAAGAAAATGAGGACAACTCTACAATCAAAACCTCTACACAATGAATCACTGCATCTAGTCTGGAAACTGCATGCACAATAAAGTCGTTCCAAATAAGCGGCGAAAACAATAGAAGTTGCACTTAAAAAGTTGACCCCATGTCACAATGTGCTGGACAACGGAGAAGCTCACAATGTGCTCACATGCCGAGTAACAAAAAATCAAACTTATGAGCTAGAAAGTTCCGTAATGAGTTGAAAACTAGCATGTTTATAGTCCACAGAACATCTTTGAAATAGGTCAAGTTGCGTGTGACTTACTCAGCGAGGTCACCAAGCTGGCGAATAATGCCAACAAGACCTGCCATAGCCACACCCTCCAGAAGGCCCTCGGGGTCATCGCGAGAAGCTGAGCGGAACAACTCCGGGTTGGCCAAACTGTGCTCACACCGCACCTCATACCTGACAAGAGGCATGGCTCCTCAAACTCCCCAATGCTCTATATTTCAATTTTCAGAAAGAATGTGCTCAATCCTTTGCGGAACCTCGCCCATGACCATCCTTTAATTCACGTTGTGTAGCCCAACACATTTTCCAAGTGAATGTCATACTTCCTACTTCAATCAATAGTAAGAGCACAAGCCTGCAATATGCACATCCGTTCAGTTCTAGATACCCCAACAATGTTAAGAGGTACACTAGCATAGACTTCACGGTTCCAAAACAAATATTGAGAGCAAAAACAAGAGAAAAATCCTTTCCATCTATCGTTCGTGGTTCGTTAATTGTACTGTATATTGTCAGAGGCTGGACTCCAAGACATCAAGAAACGCACAAAGGCTCTCACATTCCAAAACTAAAGTAACCTACTTCAATCGTTACTGGGAGCTGATAAATTGTGTGTATAATGTCATGCTGTACACCAATCTGTAACAACAACAACAACAACAAATAAAAATAAAAAGTAAAAAATAAAAAAACAACAACAACAACAACAACAATTACAACAACTTTCTCTCGGCGCAAAAATTGGCTCTCTACCACCATGAAACCAACAAAATGCCTTGATAAAATTTTCATGAACACTGCACTTCCCACGACAGGGGAGCGAAAGCGATACTCACGGAAAACCAAAGGTTCAAAGCTAGAAGAGGCCCTTGACTTTGGATGCTGGTTCCTTGCGACACACTTTCGTCAAAAACACTGCAAGCTCTGCTCTCCTAGAATAAAAGATAAGTTCACGCGTGTGCGCGCCACTCAGACCAGATTGTCAGAGAAGGCGTCAGAGCCACCAAGCAGTTAATGCCCACGAAGACTACCCAATTTACATCGTGCTGAATCTCGTGGAATGCTTCCGTAATGAATATCTCTCTCGATCGAATACGATGATCACACACACATGCTCGCACCATGGCTGCCCACCCTAACCGGAGCAGAGCCTACGCGACTCAGACTTAGGGATAGGGTTTTAAGCAGAACAAACTCAAAACTACCTCAAATCAAGCGCCGTGACGTCGAAGGAGATCGCGAGCGCCACAGCGTCGAAGGGAATCGACCGAGAGTACCGCGAGCAGCTCGCAAGTACAGCGAATTGATGATCGAGAGCGAGGAGAGAAGATGAACTCTCGTCGTCGTCCCGCACCAGGACCATTCAACAATTATGCTTCGCACCAAGTGCACCCGTACTTCGGTCCCTCGTTCAGCACCTGGGATCCTATCTCCACGTCTCAAAACCAGATATTAAATGACTTGGAACCTCTCTTGACCTCGTTCACACCTATCCAACCGGCAATTTGGGCCTAAAACAACTGGGAGGGCCCGCCAAGTCAGCAGAAACCCCCCCCCTTGGTTTAAAATTTGGGGACTTCGAAGGCGCAAAAAGCTAACTTAATGTGGTGGCATTGTTGGAGTGATTTAAGGGGATGCGGGATATGTGGGTCTATCCTTTTTCATTCATTGGAATGTGGGTATCTAATTCCACCTAAACATGGGCGCAGCCAATTAACACCATCCCATATTTAACCTAGAAAGTGGGCTTTGTCTACAAGCACTGAAAGTGTTTGGTATTTCTAATCTAATTATAAGGCGAATTGGGATTTGAATTTTTTGAAGAAGCCTACGCCATTGGCTTCCTTACAAAATAAACTCTCCTCAATCATATAGGGTTGCCCTCCACTTCGAGCTTCGTGCAGAAAGTCTTATGTGAAACATCATCTCTGGAGTTGTGGGGATTGAGGAATGTTGCTGTTGACCGTTTTCAGCTCATTAAACACTGAGTACCATCTCTCCTGACAAGTGGCAATCGGACTCTTTACAAAAACTTCAAAAGGGACCCATGTGCAAGAATATACCCTAAAAAGCTGATTCAAACCAATTGAAACAAGAGAGTCATGACGAAGCTCCGGAAGAGCTTGCAGCATAGGGGGAGTCTTCGAGAGTAATTGTAATTCATGCATTTTAACTGTTCAATCACAAGTAAATAGCAGAGCAAATAGAGCTAGTACTAACCCTTACTCCCTTTACATTCATTGTGGCGGAATAGTGCTATGATTAGGGTTTATATTCAAGTAACGACAAGTTAGTTCGACTTTTGTTGCTTTGCAAGGATAGGTTTTCAATACACAATATAATGACATATGTTGTAGTATTGAAGGCTAAGCTAGTCCATGCATTAGTGGCTTCTTCTACCTCAGAGGAAGCTTGGACGATAGAGCATGTGAAGAAGACATATAGGGTAGAGCCAGAGTTAATTGCGGTAATAGTAAATCTAAGTAAGTTTATTGCCATCAATCCAATCTGTGTAATTCCAAGTGAGAAGTTAGCATAGGACTTAGTTAAGAGCTATGCAAGATTTTTGCTAAATACTCATGTTATAGAGATGTAATTCATATGGTGAAAAAATTAAAAAAGAGATGGAATATCTACAAAAGTGTATAATCATAGCTTATTTTGTAGGAAGCAAGTTCTTAGCTAAGACCTTACAAATATAGATAAGGTGCTCAAAAGTTAAAGTTTGGAAAGAATTACACATTAGACGTGATCTCATCCAAAGATTTTATCAAGTAGTGTGTCTTAGTAAAGTAGCCTTCTAAAAAGTCCTTATATATACATTGCACCTTTTCCAATAGAGAACCAATATAATCTAGCTGTCAAGTATAAGGTTTAATACAAGATGCCTAGTATCACGCACATATACATTTACTTCAATAATTACTTATATGATTAGATAAAAGTAAGTAAATATAGATTAATTTCATAAAGTCTTTTAATAAAGCTTCCTAGAAGCTTCATAGACGTGGTTTTGATTTTAGATGTGTTTATAGATCAGAAACTTGGCTAATAAGTTAACAACATGTTGGTAGCTTGTGGAACAAGTTAATTCTACATAATAGCTTGTGGAACAAGTTAACTCCACATAATAGCTTGTGGAATGCTAACTATGTGGTGTATATATAGATAACTTGCCTTGTAAGTTAAGACATATGGCTAGCAAAGTCAACATGTTTTGGAGGTCCTATAGGATATCGCTACATAACTTCTAATTATGAATATATATGGAGGCAAGGGTGAAGCCTTCTTCACTTTTGTCAATGTTGTATTAGTCTTTAGTCTTCTTTCAAGACTTTCTAGTCTTCTTATTTTTGACAATAACCATTCTAGTTAATATTACATTATCTTTTGAGTGACTTTCTATTTCTCTTCAGTGACACAAGAATATATCAAGGATTGTCTTTCTTTGAGATTCATGTCCTTGATAGTTTGACAAGAATATTAACATATTGTTTTTGTCTTGTTTTAGGAGTGAGTGGATTAGTCCACTTCTATTATAGTATTTTGAAGGTTGTGGACTATCCACCTTTTAAACAAAATAATCTTGTTTTCTAACAGTGATCTTTCCTTAAAGAGATTAGATTATCCCTCTTTGTACCTTTAATGGAAAAAGGTTTGTGACTCCTTTATGATTTCAATTCATTCCTAAAAGTATTTACGTCAATATTTGGAGGAAGTAATCAAGAACAAGTAGCAGAGACTAAACTCTTCTCTATATCACAAGGATCATGATCACTCACTACATATGTTGCTGAATTCCAAAACCTTGTTTGCAATGTGGATTAGAATGACAAAGCACTTATCAATCAATTTTGATATGGATTAAAGGATAGTATCAAAGATGTATTATTAACAATGTTGAAAACAAAATCTTTCAATAATTTATTGCTCAAGCAATTCCATGCCACAATCAATTATTTAAAAAGCATGAAGAACAAAGACTTGGTTAGAGAAGAACAAGTCAAGTAATGGTAGCAGCTTCAAAGTTTTTTGAAATGTATTCATCAAAGCCAAAACCAATGCAAATTGATACTATACATTTTAAAACTCTCACAAAGGAAGAAAAATTCTTAATATTGCCTAGAGGGTTTGTATTTATACTGTGGAGAAGTTAAGCACACTGCTCAACATTATCCAAAGAAGCAACACAATTACAAAATAAGAAGCACAATTTCCAAGGAAGATAATGTGTCAAAAAACGAGTTTCTCTAGCTACAATAAGGATCGTGTAGCTGGAACCATGTGCAATACCTAGTTAAGGTCCTATTCTCTCTTCAATCTCCTCCCCTTGTTTTATAACAGATGTGTGTTTAAGACCTAAAAATCCCAAAGTCCTTACCTTATTAGATTTAGGAACCTTAACTTCTTTTAAAGACAAAGATTTTGTCAAAAATCAAAAAATATCTTTAATCAAAAAAATTAAATCCATACATGTAGAAGTCATAGATGGTCATTCATTGTCTTCTAGAAATGTTATCTATGAGATTGTTCCTTTAGATGTAACAATTAAAGATCATAAAAGCATAGTACTATTTTGTAATAAGATCTTCCTCTAATCCGATTATTTTAGGATGATCGTGGCTAGAAAAATGTAACCCTCAAATAGATTGGATTTTTTGTAATCTTAACTTTTTTGGTAGTATAGTTTAAGATTGAGTTAGCAAAGTAGAAGTACAAAAGTCTACTACTTCCAAACCTTTATTGATAGATACAAGAGCTTTCATACATGCTCCAAAAGTAAGATCATCTTTTGCTATATATGCTATGCCTATATCTAATAGTAAAAAAATGTCAAGAGGTATTCTTAGCCAATATAAAGAATTTCAAGATGTTTTTGAAAAAAAAATGAAGATATTCTTCTAAAGCATCGATCTTATGATTATTCAATTGATTTGCAAGAAGAAGTTCAACCACCATTTGGACCAATCTATAGCTTATCGCAGAATGAATTGGCTACATTAAAAGAGTACATTAATATGAACTTGGCAAGAACTTCATACACTATTCTAAATTTCCAACCAAAGCTCCTATCTTATTTGTGAAGAAGAAAGATGAATCTTTGCAGATGTGTGTAGATTATTTAGGATTCAATAAGATCACCATCAAGAATAGGTATCCTTTGCCTTTGATTTCACAACTTCTTGACCAACTCAATCAAGCAAAGATCTATATCAAAATAGATCTACGAAGAGGATATAACTTAATTTGTATCAAAGAAGGAGATGAATGGAGGACTGCTTTTTAAACTATGTATGGATATTTTGAATATAATATCATGCCTTTTAGACTCATAAATGCAGAGGTTACTTTTCAACATCTTATGAATGATGTTTTTTGTGAGTTTCTAAATGATTTTGTCATTTGTTATTTAAACAATATTTTTATCTATTCTAAGAACACAAAAAAATATAAACTTCATGTTCATCATATCTTACAAAAACTTAGATATGCAAGATTATATGCCAAGTTGGAAAAGCATATATTTCATACTATTCAAGTTGACTTTTTAGGATACATCATTTCCAATGAAGGCCTTATGATGGATCCCAAGAAGATCCAAACTATCATAGATTGGAAGATTCTACGAACAATATGAGATGTGCAATATCTTTTAGGCTTTGTTAGTTATTATCAAATCTTCATCAAGAATTTTTCTCAAGTTGCAGCTCTATTTATACGTTTGACTTGTAAAGACAAATTCAAGTGGAATAAAGAAACACAAACATCATTTGATGCTTAAAAGAAAGAATTTACTTCTGCAGTAATCTTGTAATATGTTGACTTTTCTAAGGCATTTTTTATGGAAATTGATGTGACAGACTTTGCTATAGCTGTCAAGTTGTCACAAACGGAAATAGATGATAAACTCCACCTAGTAGGTTTTTATTCCAAGAAATTTTCAACAGTCAAAATTAATTATGAGATCTATGATAAAGAGTTCCTTGCAATCATGGATTCATTTCAAGAATGGCGTCATTATTAAGAAGGCGCTTCAAGTCCAGTTACCATAGATACAGTTTATAAGAACCTCAAGTACTTCAAATAAGCATGTATTTTGAATTGTCGTTAAGCACATTGGACCATATCTTTATCCAGATTCAATTTTAAGATCATTTATCGATCCAAAAAACAAGAAGGTCTATTAGACACCCTTCTT